GCACTGTATCTAATGTCTGATTACTTTAGAGAATAACAAAACAAAGATAAAACAAGACAAAAAAAATGACATGGAATCCATAAAAACATGTAAAATATTTAGGCCAGATTTCAGCATGGCTCTGAAAGAATGCCAAATATACACCATAAAAAATTTTTTCAGTGTTAAATGACTCAGTCTGGGATGGATTTCCCCAAATTATCTTAGCACAAGGATGATGCTGAAACTTGGCCCTGAACACCAAGCAAACCAGACTGAAATACAAAAGTATCATTTTCTGCTTTGGTCTGGATCAAGAAAACCAAATTGGAGTAACTAAAAACTAAAATCAGTGCACCCTTAGGCACCTACTTTGTTAAAGTCCAGCCCAGAGTTTTTAAAGTCAAATTCAATCGTAAGCATGCGCAAATTTCACTGACTGCTTTGTTATTCGTCTAGTTTCATCTTTGGTGTATTTGTCTGATTGAACTCACACCTGGTAGGAGTGCATGTACAATTGAGTGTAAACGTTTAACAAGCTGAAAAAATGCTTGATTTGTGGATAAATATTATCAATAGCATATATAACAGCAATAATACGAATATGAATTGAAAATAACAAAAATAACAGTAATTTGTGAGCATGGCAATCCAGTACAGAAGTGAATGTACTTATTTTACATGCACATTGGTATAAACAAATGCTGCAGCTATTCCATGTTTAAAGACATATTACAGTGATTTTGTTTTATACCACTGACTCCACCCACCAAATAAACAATACAAAACACAGCTAGTGCAGAAGCATCTTGTACAATACAACAACACAGCATTTAAATGTTATTTTCAGAGAATAATCACACAATCACAGGTCACTCACTGCTCGACCTCAAACTTCACCTATGAGCACAGCTATTGGCTCACGAGCCACTCCACTCTGTGATTTTATTAGCTCCTTACCGAAACGAATTTGCATGAATTAGGGTGTGCTTTATGTAAATAATATGTAAATGAGGTAGGCTAGTGCTTGATGTCATGCACTTAAGCTCATTCATTGTTTGCGCTCAAATCGCTGCTTGTTTCCATGCTGTGTAAAGATTTCACAAATCAGATGCAGACGCATGAAAAGAAGTGTATATCTCAGCACCACTAGGAGCTGCAGTGGATCAAGTCATAGTCAAGGGGAGGTCTCAAAAAAATCTCGACAGCGATTAGGACCAACTTCAGTCAAGAGAGGTCTCAGAACGAACAACAAGGTGATCAGGACCAATCACAGTAAAGGACAGGTCTCAGGGGGAGGTCTCAGAACATATAATGGTGATTAGGACCAATCCGAGTCAGGGGGAGGTCTCAGAATGAATAAAGCAGTGATTAGGACCAATCACAGTCAGGGGGAGGTCTCAAAACATATAATGGTGATTAGGACCTATCACAGTTAGGGGGAGGTCTCAGAATTAATGAAGCAGTGATTAGGACCAATCACAGACAGAAGGAGGTCTCAAAACAAACATTGGTGATTAGGATCAATCACAGTCAGGGGGAGGTCTCAGAATGAACGGCACATTGATTAGGACCAATCACAATCGTGGGAGGTCTCAGAATGAAAAGCAGTGATTAGGATCAATCACAGTCAGGGGGAGGTCTCAGAATGAACGGCACATTGATTAGGACCAATCACAATCGTGGGGAGGTCTCACAATGAAAGGCAGTGATTAGGATCAATCACAGTCAAGGGGGAGGTCTCAGAATGAACGGCACATTGATTAGGACCAATCACAATCGTGGGGAGGTCTCACAATGAAAGGCAGTGATTAGGATCAATCACAGTCAGGGGGAGGTCTCAGAATGAACGGCACATTGATTAGGACCAATTACAATCGTGGGGAGGTCTCACAATGAAAGGCAGTGATTAGGATCAATCACAGTCAAGGGGGAGGTCTCAAAACAAACATTGGTGATTAGGATCAATCACAGTCAGGGGGAGGTCTCAGAATGAATGACACATTGATTAGGACCAATCACAGTCAGGGGGAGGTCTCAGAATGAAGGACACATTGATTAGGACCAATCACAATCATGGGGAGGTCTCACAATGAAAGGCAGTGATTAGGACCAGTTGCAGTCAGGGGGAGGTCTCAGAATGAACGACACAGTAATTAGGACCAATCACAGTCAGGGCGAGGTCTCAAAACCAAAGGTTCAGCAAGCAGCATGCACCACGCCGTACAACCTCAAATCACTGAGTAGTTTTGTCCAAAAAGGCGTGATTTTCGTCTGAAGTTTACTGCTGGCCCAGCTTAATACTCAGCTTACCAGAATTTATACACCCAAATCATAAAACAGAGCACAAAAAACACTAAACAGACCTCAAGCACAGTGACAGTCTGAACAACATATTCAAAATCTGTTATCTTCCACCACCGTCCACCACCACCAACTGACCGGCAGCCATTTGACTGGTAAAAAGGTAGCGGCGACTTAGGTGGACACTACAGCACATAATGGAGTGTCCATTGTTATTGTCTTAACAGTTCCTCTGCTTTAACACCACAAGTCATGTTTTGAAATGGCCTTCTAGTGCTACATGGCAGATCCAGTAGAGAAGGTTCTTAGGCAAAGGATGCATCATCTACTTTACAACATTGCACACTGCAACATAAGACAAGATATTGTTATCAACAAAAAGGCAACCATGCAAACAAGCAATTTCTTTAGCTGCTTATGAACTCCTTTGTTTCATTGACATTTCCAACATAAGAGTGGCTTCTGAATAAAGGAGGATTGAATGGTGTCACATTCTGAAGGGTTCAGGATTAGGTAAGTAAGTAGTCAAACTGTTTACCTGAGAGGAAGGCATTGATGTTCACACGAGCCGCCATTTTGCATTAACACCCTCAGCTATTTCGCAGTTGCTATTCTAGTGCTAACAGTTTGACTCAGGCTAATTTACAGGATAATCGCTTGCATAATCATAACTCTGAGAACCTGACCTTCATTCACTGTATGATAACACTGTGGAAAAAATATGGAAATCCATAACAAATGTTTAGGGCATTTTGAATACCAAGCAGAATATACAGAGATATACAGTCAAAATGGCCATTAAGTACAAAGGATGGTTCTTTAAAGGTTCTTTAGTAAAGACAATGGGCCTCATTAACCAAACGTTAGAAGGTTCTAACATTCACCAGTGTCTTCTTATTTGGGATTTGTTCTTAGGTAAGAACAGAATCTACACACACTCAAGAGCACAAAGGTGTGAACAGTTCTGAGGTTTAAAAACTGGTCAAGAATCTGACATAGACTTTTTCTCAGGACCTTTCTCGAGGACACATTCAAGGAAAAACTTTTTGAATTTGGTGAATGAGGTCCATTGTTCCAATATAGAACCATGAACACTGAAAGAACCAATTGCATATTTAAAAGTTTCTTTGAATGGTGAAATCGTTCTCCAGATTGAATGAGAACGTGTTGTACATGTTTCTATATAGCACCAAAAAGGGTTAAGCTATTGTTATGATATCAAGCTTGTAACAGTAAAAGACCTCTTTTTGGTGCTATATAGAACCACTTTAAAACGGTTCTCTGTAGAGTCATATACAACACATTCTCCAACAATCTGAAGAACGATTTCACCATACAAAGAACACTTTAAGCTTGCAAATGGTTGTTTTCTATATAGGTTCTAAAGGACCCTTGAAGAACCATCTTTTTTAAGAGGCTACAAGTTTTAAGGAGACATTTCTGAGACGATTAGATAGTAGATGAGCCACTTCAATAATACATGAAAAATGGTCAAAACCTCCAGACAAAATGAGACTCCTAGCAGCCACCTGCAAGACCTGGTAGGCCGCCAAAACTGCCCCATCGTCTTTACCGAAGAACCCTTGAAATTAGTGCATTCATGACTAAATTCATGTTGTGCGATTGTGCGAACCAGCCCCAACATGGGATTGGTTGGCACATGTTATGGGGATGGTTGGCACAATGTTCAAAGGCTATGATTTGAAAGAAGGAAGCAACAAATAGAAATACTCAGAGCTTTTCATTTACTCTAATCCACAGACGTAAACCTTCATTAAAGAAGGTTTTTGAATCAATTCTACAAATTGTTTATCATTGGCTTGTAATAAACAGTGTACAGTAACTACTGTACTTGAGAGTAGAGAGATGCTTCATAATATATGACTTAAGCAAATGTAGAGGTCCCCTGTTTATGTTTCATATTACTACGTAATTTCTCATCTTGGCCTGAAGCTTACTGATAAAATATGTAAAAATGGATGAATGTAGGTGAAGAAATCAATAATGTTTGTATTACGTTCTTATGAAAGCTTCCCCTACTGGCCTGGAATCAGACATTCTGCCAACCAACCCCTGTGTCCACCCTGTTCTTCTTTACTATAGATCACGTTACAAAAAATGGGGTCCCACCTTGTTTGGATAGCTCTCTGATGTTCAAATTATTAGTAGACTGTCTGGTGAAACAGCATTAGGATTAGCACTAGGGTTAGGCTCAGGTTTAGGTAAGGTTAGGTTACATTAAGGTAAATTTGATAGATATTCGACCCTTTGGCATACAAAGTTTATTTCATACAAAAGCTTATTATTCAGTAACTACAGGGACCTCAATGAAAACTAATGGAGCTATTCTTAGGTTATAGAAGTGTACTAAAACTTCAGGCCTGCTATTGGGCCCATGGCTTGTTAAGGGGTTGATTGAATGCAAATTGTGTGCATGGCAAGCATCAATGGGCTATCCAAATAAAGTTAATTTGTTGCATTAACATTAACGTTCTGAACACTTTCAAAACAGATGGGTTAGAAACAATGCAATGTATTTTCTGTGTTTCCAGTGGAGGACAACACATTTTGTGCTACCTTTAACACACAATACATACGAGACCATGGTTTGCTTCACAAACATATTTTACTAGAAAACCCAAAAGCATGAAAGCGCTGTTAGAGCATGATAAGTGTGTGCTGATCCGGCTTGTGCTGCATAACGGAGGGCTCATCCTCTACGAGGGTCCCTCCACGTTGATAGTGGTGACGGTGGCCATGAAGCAGCGCTGAAACAGCCGCTCTGGGTCAGCCGGCTGGTTGTCACAGTCCAGTTTCCCCTTGAAGAAATGCTTGCGGAACCCCTGAGGTCCGGACGGAGCCCTGGGCTGGCTCGGGCCTTCCTGTGGGCCAGCCTCGGCGCCTGGAGAACAAACCAGACAAGACCTTCGCTTACAAAACACAACCAAACATTTCCAACACTGAGATTAATAACTGATCACCACATTGATTTATCAGTCTACTCAGGCTTTAGCAGAGCTCAGTAACACTGAGATTAATAACTGATCACATTGATTTATCAGTCTACTCAGGCTTTAGCAGAGCTCAGTAACACTGAGATTAATAACTGATCACATTGATTTATCAGTCTACTCAGGCTTTAGCAGAGCTCAGTAACAATGAGATTAATAACTGATCATCACATTGATTTATCAGTCTACTCAGGCTTTAGCAGAGCTCAGTAACACTGAGATTAATAACTGATCACATTGATTTATCAGTCTACTCAGGCTTTAGCAGAGCTCAGTAACACTGAGATTAATAACTGATCACATTGATTTATCAGCAGAAAATTTAGCATTTGTAAAGAGGCTGTTTGTTGAACTTCTCCAACATGTGGTGTCCGGCCATATAACATGGACAGAATACAGATACTTAATTTCTGTGTTTTGAATACTTGTATTCTGTTACATCCCAGCACTGATCTTACCTGATGTATCATCAAAATAAAGGTGCCAACAGAACTGGAAAGTGATGCTTTTACAGGAGAAGAGGAAAAATGCAGAAATCGATGCCTTTTTCTTGAGCATTCAAGGCTTAATGGCAAGTCCCTCATTAAACTCAAGATCACATACACTGCCAAATAATTTGATGAATGAATATTTTCTGTAATTTAAGCAATATACCTAAAGATTCTTTTCACTAGATTTCAGCATTAAGTACTATGCTTGAGCATTCCTAAGTGACATAGAGCTTCTTACTCCATTAAGCAATATATTTGCATATATTGCTCTCCCAGCATTGTATTTCTGGCCTGCTCTGCAGTGTGGTGAAGGCATGACCTGCTACTAAACCAGCCACATGCTCATTAAAAAGGACTTTTGAGGAGAAGCTTGGCTGACTTTTTACACTGTCAGTGCTCAGAAAGAAAAAGTTCAGTGTTCTCTTCTTGATCTGAGTGAACTTGATCTAAAACCTGCTGCAAAAGAGACCAGCAAATCAAAAATTTAGAGAGTATAGTCTCAGCAGAGACAGAGATACAGATACAGATATATATATATATATATATATATATAGAGAGAGAGAGAGAGAGAGAGAGAGAGAGAGAGATTAAAAGACTGAGGGACTGTTTGTTTGAACTAACAGGACAGCGAAATTGGCTTGCATAACAGGTGGTTGCTAAAATGTTGTTATATTGAATCAGGTGGTTGCTAAGGCGTTGTTAGGCCTTTGCTATATTATCCAAGGTTGTTGCTAGGCCAGTGGTAGGGTATCCCAGGTGATTGCTAGTCTTTGCTATGTTACCCCAGGTGGTTGCTAAAGTGTTGCTAGGCCACCAATATAGTGGGGTGGGGAAAAAATGCTTGAATGAATGCTATACAAAAGTTATACATGCAATTAGTCCCAAAAGCACAAGTGAAATGTGTCCCATATATATGGAGTTTGGATATTTTTACTTATATTGTAGCATTTCTTTGAAATCGTAGCAGTTTCATTGGGTTTTGTTTTACCACTTTATTTTAAGGAACACATATTGGGGGTTTATTAAGGTCTTGTTATTTGTTCAGTAAAACTCAAACTAGATACTTCTAAATGGTTTATTCAGCCTGCATTAGTCATTAGAAGCTGTACTGTACATATTTAGATATTTGTTATGTGAAAAGCGCTAATAATTACTTTTTTAGGCGTAATACTGCACAAAAAAAACCTTGTTATGTAAATTACTGAACATGAAGTAATCACCTGCTGTCCACTTTGTGCACAGGCCTGTTGTTTGAGAAATATTTTACAACAAAGTCAACAATGAACATGACACCAATCATTTTTATTGATCAGTTGTTTGTTTGGAGTAGATGACAGCAACAGTGTTGTCAACTCCAGATTGTTAGCTCCTCCTTTTTAAAGTTTCTGCCATTCTCATGGTCACTGTTTACACAGTAAAAGTCACATGCTTAGTAAAAGTCATGTTTCCGTTAGCGTGTAGCAGGTTTAGTTCAGGTTCGGGCTTCAAATTTAGGACTACCAGTTGGGCCTGGTCGTGTCTTAATGTTGTGAGGACGGGTCAGGTTTGGGTTTCAATGTCATGCCCATGCAAACCTCTAGACCACACACACATAGGCTTGTGTAAAATTTGTGGGGACATTACATAGACGTCCATTCATTTCCTGGAGACTTATACCTTAATAATAAGTACTATTAGCCTAACCCTAACCCTACCCTACCCTGCCTTCACCTTAAAATTCAATGATTTATGTTGTGGCGATCAGCTTGTCGTACCCACAAGGACACCACCATGTGAGTGTATAAACAAATTTTGGTCCCCACAATGTGGCATCAACCTGGCACACACACACACACACACATTCACAGGCTCAACCAGCAGTCAAAAGCTATTAGTGATCTGGGTGTTTTGTTACTTCCGTCATGGCAGCCAAAAAGCAAGCAGTCAATATACGACTTTCTGTCCCTCCACACTTCCAGGAGGAACGGGCTATTGTTATTCCTCTGGAAAAAATCTCTGAGTCAATTCGATTTAAGTGAGAGGCACACCAGCAGCCCATCGCCACATACATTTGTCTGAATTTTGGCAAAGGCTTCCGTTTTGAAGTGGAATAAAGGGGTTGTTATTTAGGAAACCCATTGATCTCGCTGTGAGAGCAGGTGAGAGATGGAATTTGGCTGAGAGCTGCCTGAGAGGTGGATTTATCTGAGCACAGATGAAAGTCAGTTTAAAAAAAGCTTCAGGAGCTGTCATGCTTCAGACGTGGACAGAGCCCAAACACTCAGAGACGTGCCTACAGAGCTCATTGGAACCATGGAGGCAACTGGATAGGGGTCAGTCGGTATTTGATACTGGAAATATTGTTGTATTAATTTAATGGCCAGGATGTAAATAAAGTGATGCAATGGTGCATTCTAGAAAACAAACAAACTTCTTTAGATTTCTTTACAGTGGTGGTGATAGGAACCAAAGGTCACCATTACCACAACACAAATATAGACATTTTATCTACTATCAAAAACCACCAGTGAACCTAAACGAATCTTCTCTGTTTTTATATGTTTATATGTTGATGATAGTGAAAAAGTGGAAGATCTGAAAAAAGGTTTTCTTTTCCTTATCAGCAATATACAATTCACATTTCAGTAAATGACAGTAAAACAATGTCTTAGACATCAGGCAGTGAATTCATAACCATTTCATGTATTAACTTTCTGTGCGGGAGTTTTTAGGGGTGGATGTCTGGTTCCTATCACCACCACGGTGAACAATTCTGACCCAGTAAGAACAAAGTAACATCAAACCAGTCTGAATTACTTTGTTGACATCCGATTATGCAGAAATTATGCAGAAATGTTTATCTTACTAGACATCAAACATTATCAAATATGTCTTGACAACTACTAATAATAGTAACATAACACTGTTATATTACTGAACAAAATGTGTTATAACAACTCAAGCATGTGACATGTGCCATGACATGTTTGTGGCATAGATATGTTATTGTTACATGGCAGCATGTTACCAACTTCTTTTACCTTACTAGTTCATGTCATTTAAAATACAAAATTCTTGTTTTCCTGAAATGTTGCATGAAAATGGCTTTTGCCCTGCCTCTAAAATGTCTTCTGAGTTTTATATCAGATTATGTGCATCAGCAGGTGTTGAAAATAATATTAACCAATAAGTTAAGTTTCACCACCCTCTCCTACCATCCCCACCTATCGTAGAGAGAAAATGCTAAGCTAGCTTGGTGTGTTTTTCTCTGTAGCACCATGTTTCACACAGAAATGAATAATGGTACATACAGAAATGGCATTATGATTTCTCATTTGCATGGATTTTAAACTCATGCTAGACACTTAACTATAACAGTGATTTGAAAGTGATAATATTCCATTATCACAAAAAAAACTACTTACTACTTAAAAGTCTACTTACTTTTTGGTTCATCAAAAACATTCTACTCACTTTAAATGTCCTCACATAAGATTGAGAGCATCAATGTGAGTGAGATAAAGCCTCGAATACACTCAGGTTACACTGTTCTTGGCTTGGGAACTTGTGGTAGTGGCCACTGTAACAGCCAAAAACATTTCAGAAAACTTGGTTAGATGAGAGAACTGGTGCTCATTGTGTCCACCACTCCTAAGGGTTTTCCATCTTGGGGATGTGCAGTATTTCAGAACTTCTCTTGCATCAGTGTGGTCCAAAAAGTTCTTTAAAGTCAGTTTCTAGTCTTGATTGTTCCCTCATCCGAATCTCTGTCTTCATGTGTCAAAATTTATGACTTGGTGTTTCAAAATAATTACTTATTTTCTCATAATATTGACTTGTCAAAATCATAAGTTAGTTCCCCAAAATATTGACTTACTATGTAAAAATGAGTGAGAATGTTCTCGAAATATTGACCTTTGGTGAAATATTGAGCTAGTGTGTCAAAATATTGACTTACTATTTTGAAATAGCTATTTTCTCAACAATAGACATAATGTGTTATAATAATAATTTATTTTCTCAGGTTCTGTTAACGATCTATTATCCCAGACTAATAACATATTTTCATAAAATGTAATAACTGATTATTTCAACATAGTATCTAACATTGAGAAAATTAGTAGTTTATTTTAAGATACTACATGATTTTGCGAAAATAAGTCATTATTTCAAAATATTAAGTTGATAAGTTAGGAAAATAAGTCACTATTTCAAGATACGTAATCATTACTTTGAGAAAATGTATCATTATTCTGAGATATTAAGTCAACATTTCATGAAAATGAATCATCATTTCAAGATAGTGAGTGAATATGTTGAAAATTAACCATTATTTTGACATGCTTCTGTAGGAAACAGAGGGAAAAAAAATGCATAGATGGTTTTTTCTTCTCTACCCACTGGAAATGGACTTCTATGTA